ATCCATGCTACTGAATGCAGTATGTGCACAGACACATAGGTGAAAGGAACCTGAGCATAAATTGCTATTCCCACCAAAGACTTTTAGTTGCTCTTTCTGATGTGGCAAAAACTTTCCAGAGCCAATAAGGAAGTGCCTTTCATATCTGGTAAGCACAAGGCTTATGAGTGACTTTGACAGAATATTGATGTGAACAAAATGTGTTTCAACACTGCACCATTACCAGAGGAATTACAGTGTTCTCATTGAGATTATAAAGAGCTGAGTGATAAAAGGGAAAAAAAAAAAAAAAAAGACAGGAAAAAATAAAGTGTGATACAACCTCCTCCATTTTAAAATGTTTAGATTAATAGATATTTTTGGATATATTCAAAAATGGATCTAGCTCATGCTCATGACAGAAGCTTTGCCACAGACTGAGAGACAGTCTCTGTCGTGCATCACAACCAAGGAGCTTCTGGTAGGAATCTAGGACACTTTTGTAAAGACACAAAGTAAAACAGATTTCATGTATAAATTGGTAATGCATGTCCAGCTCTGCAATGGGACATTCAGTGTGTATATGTATTCATATATATACACATTGTAAGGAACTGCATTGAAGGATGTAAAGGTGCTGCTGATTTAAAGGTGCTGGATGACAGTAGAAAACAAAGAAGCACTTTGCAGGACAAAATCTGCCCTTCAGAATTGAGTCCCAGAGCCAACACTCTTTGTTAAGCAGAAGAGCAGCATGAGAAGCAAACTGTCCTTTCAGCAGTCCTCAACAAGATTATCATTCTGGAGTAAAGATGTCCTAGAACTCTGTTACGAGTGACAGACATCCTTCTTGCTTACCAGATGTCATCCCAATTTTCTCTCTACAACTTACATATTTCAATACAGTTTTCTTCATATACTAGCCAAGAAGCAAAAGAGACAGAATAGGGCCTGCATGAAGAGGGAGGATTTTCTTGTGGTTACATGATTAGCAGAAGAAACAAGGGCTACTTCTGTGTTGACTCAGCTACAATTCACTGCCTGATTGCAGACAAGTCTAAGAACCCGGTTGGGTTCATCCAGTTTCCTACAGTCAGCCACCCCTGTGTTCAGTGCCAGGGAAAAACCCATAAATAAACAGAACCGTAACCACAGCCGGTGCCTACATGCAGCTACACTGTAATACAACCCAGGGTTCACAGGGTATTTCTCACTACAGCCCCATGTCTGGAAGGAATACCATGCATTGCGGTAAGCATCAGCTTTGAGTTATCTAGACTCTCTGGAACCATAGGCTTAGTTCCTTGGCAGGATTAATGCAGCTCTCCATCCTTAGAGTCAACATGTAATTCTCACTCATCAAAATGTTCACCTACGAACTCCCACAAAAACATCCCAGCTTGCTCAGCCTATAACAATCAAAGTACAAAACCAGGAGCTTATTACCTCAACTTCCAGTCTTGGGGAAGACACAAAAAACCCTTCCTCTCAATCCCAGCCAGAGCAGCAGTAACTCTACCTGATCAATCTGTTTGCTACTTGCAGCAAATTACCCTTGAAACACTCAGTGTTTGTTCAAGAAAAGCATCACAAGAAATACATTACAGGCTCCACTAGCAAAAAACAAAGTTCTTCCGACAGACCAAGGAGATCTGCTGATACCTGTTGTTAAGACTTCCCCTCCACTTCATGTCAAAGCACTATTCTTTCCTAGTCCTGCACTCGTTAACAGAATAGATTTCACTAGAACAGAAAAATCTCACTTCTTTTAGTGAAACTACGGAAGAGAATTTAAGAGGAGCCTCTTGAGCATCATTAAGAGCTCTCCTCAGGAGGTGACAGCTTTCAGGGAGGCCACTGCCATGTTCACATCACACTTTAAGAACAGAACAAATTTTCCACAGGATTTTTCCACAGGAATCCTCCTTGTTCCACATGCAAATACATTTTGTGGAGATCAGCAATCTGCCTACAGAGCTGTTTTCTAGTCATCAGGGCTAGCACAGAGTTCACAGGCCCCAAGCTCAAGAAGTGCATTTATCTTTACTTAAGCTTAAAACAGTGAGATAATAAGTGAAGCGATACAGCAATTATAACACAGAACAAGGCAATGCACCTAACCATCACTATGTGAGGATAGCAATAGTGATTAAGAAAGATACAGTTACAAGATATACCAGTTGCCCCACTGCTTTATCATCATGCAACGGGGAGGTCCTGTGCAGTGCATCCACTTCCAGGTAAGGTCTCCTCTACAAGTGCATCCAGCTTTTATACTGTTGAATAAACAAGTTTATGTGACAATGAGGCAGAAACATCTGCTTTCATTCTGCCATTGGATTCTACCTCAAGCCAGGACTCAAGGAGGAACTAAAGAAGTTTGTGTATTCATAGGCCTTGACACCATGCTTCAAAACAAGGAAAGGTTAATACATTCTCATAGTGCTTTATCCCAGCTACAACTCTTGCTAACGAGATGTTTCATCCATGATGCACTTTTTTTTTAATGATCATATATATTTTGCTAATGACTGGATACTGATTCTGGGTTGTCAGATTCATCTGGAGGTCAGCTTCAGTTCAAGGCCTGCCGTTCAGACCTCAGTATTTCAAGACCTTGTGCAACGAGGGCAGGCCCCACAAAGCTGGCACCCAGGATCCACTGGTAGGTGACTTCAGCTCTGCATCTGCACTAACGCCAGAGAGTGCAGGCTATAAACTCTTCAGTATCTAGAGTTACTTTTACTAAGTGTGAAACAAGCACCACCTGTAGGAGATAGAAACTATGCACTAGCCAGCCTCAGCCTGCTGACTCCTTGTCCAGCTTGGAAAACCTCCCTCCTCAACCAAGCTGCTGATTTTCCTGAAGATTACAAGAATTTAGTAATCTGTAAGACTAACTTCTGCCAGATCCACTGTACTAGTTAGGCAATAAATACTGGCATAAAATTAACCAAGGGCTTTCAACACTATTGTGACTAAAAATATCTGGTAAACAGATAACGTGACTGCAGAAATTGTGGTTTTTTTTGTTTTTTTTTTTGTTTTTTTTTGAGAAACCCAACATGCAGATGGATGAGAAAAGAGGAGCACCCCAATGCGTGTGCTGGTCATGAGTTTTTAGAATGGCCCTCTGTACACTACTGTGTGCCTGGTGGGACAGAATAAGGTATATTCGCTGATAACAGCTGCCAGATGGAAACACTGGAAAACGCTTTAGTACCGAATTAATTAAGAGGGCATAACTCAGGAGGCATTGCTGCCTGGCAAGAGGCATCAATAACACACTGGAGCTTTGCTGGAGCTAAATACACCTTACAAACGGGGAAGATCAACACACACTGCATTTCCTTAGCTCTGTTCTGCTCCAAAAATCGTCTTCCTCTTTGTGAAAGCTAAAATTTACAAGGATATTGCTCTCCCTCACTTTCTCTCCTGCCATTTATCTTCTGAGAGCTTGTTATTCAACAAGAAAATTCAGTATGACACAAGGAATGCAATGAAGCCATCTCTGAGGCATCTTTCCTCCAGAGCAGAGCATGGTTTTCCCCACCCTTCATTCCCATTACTAGAGTTTGATTATAGTCTTTTATATATTCTATAAAACCTTTTAGAACTTCTTCCAGGAAGAGCTCAGGAAACAGTGCAACATAGTAGATGAGAAGCTTTGTTTTACCTCTTTTCTTTTTCTTTTTTTCTTTTTTTTTTTTTTTTTAACCAGCTTTCACACGTAGCTCTCCAAAAGCAATCTGATTTCTCCATCAGCACAAGAGAACAGTAGCAAGATTCACGCCTCAGAATGCCATTCCTGCTCATATCCTGTTGCCACAAACCAAGGTCTCCTTAGTCATAGACAACTTTCCAGCTGCAAGGAATCTGAACTGCTTTATGCAAAGAGAAGGTGAAGATCACCAGCACTGCGCAATTGCTTATGGCCACAGGAGCTGCCTTTGCTCAGACCAACAGTCTATCAAACCTACCCCTAAAACAGAAACCAATGCAGAAAACACACCCAAAACTAATTTCAATGAAGAATTCTTTTCATCAGCCTCTGCAAGCTTGAAGTGCTCTAAAAAGATCTGAAAAGAAACAAAGTTAACAACTCATACTGACAGGTATCCCTGCAAATGCACACGGGCAGCGTGCTAGCCAGAGGCAGTTACAGACTGTTCTGTAAGAGACTGGCAGCCTTTTCTTTTGTGTTCCAGTCTTGCAAATATTTTTCTTAAAACATGAGGAAAGTGGGAAAATGACTTCATTATCCAGATAGATCTATGGTCTTTCATAAAATTTACATCACCTGACTCAGTGAAGCACATCGCTCCCTTACAATGAATTCAAGAGAGAACTTACAAAACAAACCTTTTACTATGTACAACTTTTCTACTGTATATATATAAAAAAAAAGAACATCGCACTACTCATCAATTTTCACAATCACTAAGTGCTGTGGACTTGCTGCTCAACAGAGCGAAACCGAGTTCTGCTAATTACACCCCTCCAAAGCGTCACTCCCTCCTTTCTCACTGACTTTCTGAATTTACAAGCAAGAAAACTCCCAAATTCAGAAATTACGATACATTCCCCAGGATCTCTACACCTGGCCAGCAAAACAAGTACTCCTTAATAACTCAGCTACAAATTTGCCTTCTAAGAGATAATTCCTGTAAGGATTCTACGTGAAGAACTCAGCAAAAGGATCGCAGTAGCCCTAAAGAAGCGGAGGGGGGCCAATGGGGAAGGGAAAGAAAAAGTCCGGTGCTTCCAGTGACGGTCAGCAAGAAATACCTGCAGGCTGCAAACACCCAGACGTTTCGCAGCTCTCTCGCTCTCTCTCTCTGCCTCTCCGGGAATTGTATAGAAACGCGTACCGAGCGGTGCACCGAGCCCCGCCAGCCCCGGGCTGCCTCCCTCGGGCCAAAGGCGGCAGCGCTCCGAAGCGGGACCCGAATGCGACCCCGGGAAGATGCGCGCCGCCCGCAGCCCCCGAACGGCGGCCCCAGGGTGCGGGCGGTACTGACCGGCCGTGGGCACGTCGGGGACCAGCTTGAGGGGCCCGATCTGCCGCAGCTGGAACGCCGTCCGAACTTCGTGGCAGCTGGGAGCCCTGCCCGCCGTCAACTCCGCCGCAGCTGCCAGCAGCCACAGCCACAGCAGCCCGCGGCTCCTACCGGCGGCCATCTCGCACCCAGCGGCCGGGCCGGGCCGCAGCGCTGCGGGGCACGGGCCGTCTGAGGGCGGGGGGATGGTGGAGGGTGGCCGCGAGTCCCCCGGCCCAGGCCGCCTCCCGCCCGGCACCGCCGCCCCGCCCTGGCGCCCGCCCTGCTGCTCCGCGAGCGCGGCCGGTCTCGGCAGCTCCGGCGCTGAAGTTTTCGCAGAGCGCTCTGCGGCCTCCGAGCTCCGCTCCTGGCAGCGGGTGCCGGCAGAGCCGCGTGGCTACAGCGACCCGTCCCTACGGGAAACACTCCCTCGTGGGATGCAGGCGGCAGTCCGGGGGGGGAGGTGAGCGGGTCCCAGCGCGAGGAAGGACGTGCCGTGTCGCTCCCGGAATCCCGGCTGAATGACTCGGAGGGCACGAGAGAATCCTCACGAGGCGAGCAGCAGCTCCAGACCCCGTACCGCGGGACACGGAGAAAACCTTGCCCCAGCAAACATATGTCCCTGCGTACTGACTGCAGCACAAACTGTTGGCTTGTATTAAAAAAATGCACAGCTGTTAGATCCTACTTTGGGGGCACATGGAACGCGCTGGCTATTCCAAGTGGCCCTGAACTCTGAAAGCAGTCCAGAAAACCCATCAACAGCAATCAAGAAGTATCCTAGAGGCACACTCCTATCCATACATTTCATGTATAAAACTTAGCAACTAAGCTCTGAGTCGTTTTCCTGTTCTATAACTTCAAAGAGAAAGAAAGAAAGAAAGGAAAAAAAAAAGTACAGTCCTTTCAGGACGTAGTCTGGTTGCTGAGCTGCTGCTGGGACTCAGATTGCTGCTGTACCCGCGGCGCAGCACAACCTGCAGGAGCACAGACCCCGGGAAATGGCCGGCTGCCGGCAGCAGCTCGAGAGACCCGCAGTCCCCCACCTCGGGCCGGGGCTCTCCTCAGTGCCCTCTGCTGCCTCCTGGGCTGAGACTCCCACGAGAACCGGGGTGCTGTGAGAACACTTCTGCATCCCATTGTCCACCCTGGCATGCTTAACCATTGAGCGCTCTTAGTGCCCTTCTGCATGCAGTGTTCTCAGCAGCTATTTTCCCCCTCACAGAAACAACCATTTCCAGAGACACAAATCCCAAGGCATTTCTCACAAAGAGAATCTTTCAGGCATGCAAGCATGGTATGAGCTACTGTTATTGTTATCTTATTTCTTGAAGGATCCTTGTGACCCTTAAGATGCTTCTAATGTGTTCCCGGAGCAACAGGACAGTCCACCTCAGCTAATTTAACCATTACACTTTCCCATAAGAAGTACTGAGAAGCTGTTTCTCACTGTTGTCAATAGTTGTCTGAGTTGTATTTTAATAGCTAGAAATGCAAATCTTTTAAGCACTTTGCTGGTTCTATCTTTGTTCGTATCAAGTTCATAGCAAGAGATTAATTATTTTAATCTCTTTAATTTTTTTTTTTTTTTTTTTTTTTTTTTTTTTTTTTTTTTTTTTGTAAAACAAAACCCAGTTTGATTTAGAACATTTGAACTTGTAAACCACAGGCTGCCCAGAGTGCCATGGGTGCCCCATCCATGGAGATATGCAAGGCCAGGCTGGATGGACCCTGGGCGGCTACACATGCATTTTGTTTAACCTTGTGCCCCGTCCTAAAGATGTTATGCAGACAACACTCCCATTGACTTCAGCAGGAGTTCTGACAGAAAAGAAACAGCGGGATGATGGATTTGGCAAGCAATTCACCTGATGAAAACAGCACTATTTGGCATATATACATTATTCTCTGAATAGCATCTAACCAGTCCTGTGCAAAGGACTGAGGCGTTTAATTCAGTGGAAGTTTTCCCACTGTTTTCAGAGAGTGGCAAGTTCATATCACAGGTGGGTCCTTATTTTGTCACCTCATCTTTATATGGTGGATGCTCTTCTCCTCACCCATCTGTTTTTGGGCTACTTTAAGTCTTTTTGCTTATGTATATTTTCTCAATTGGGTCTCACATGTTACCTCCTGTTCCCCTTCTCTCCTCAAAATACTGCTGTGAGGCCTGAATTATACATATAACAAACACAACAGCAAATTTAGTGTCAGGGAACTGGATTGTCCATATATATAATAGTAGCTACTGCGGTACCTAAGGAAACATGTATGTTCCTAGTGGTTTTGTAGTAACTATACTGAAAGGCATAAATCAGAGATAGCCTGGTGCATTTCTCAGGGTGGAGCCTGACCCCCCTCCCAACTCCCCCTTTGGAAAAAACATATAAATCCCTGCACATTTTTTTTTTAATACAGGATATACGTTTTTGTAAAATGACTAGGGACAACAGAAGAGGGACTTATCCAATTCTACATGACATTATTATACTTCATCAATTGGCTTGGAACTGTGACAGTTTACCTTGACAACTTATTACTTATTAAGGACAATATCGGTACTTCTTACAAAGAATTGCAATATAAATCTGCCCAAGCAGTCTGCTTGCTCTTAATCCTACTAAAGTGACCACAATACTCAGTATGAGCCATGGATGTATAAGAAAAGCTGGGATCAAGTCTGGGATCAGGCTTTGTATGTCTGTTGCCTCAGCTCTTCTCTTGTTAAAAATAGCTGGAGTTTTGCCAGTGATTTAAATGGAAGCTGGACTAAGCTAGTTTAAAATAAACTCATCTCCAACACTGGACTTGCCACCAGTGAGACTTGACGGGCACAGTCTTCTCTTGCCAGTTCAGCTGCCAGACAAGAAACCTTACTGTATGAATTTCTTAGCCATTCCAAGAAAACCTGTAATCCAGTCTTTAAACTCTTATTTTATCTATAGAAGCCCAGTTTTCCAAGGCACATGTTTTAGTGAAGTGCCCAAGGAACTCACCTGACTTCCTGGAAGCCTAAGTAAGGAACCTGGTTAACTCAATGAAGCAAGCCCAAACCAGAAACCAATTTTCATTAAAAAAAAAAAAAAAAAAAAAAAAAAAAAAAAAAAAAAAAACACAAAAAAACACCTTAATCTGCCTCAAAAGAAAAGAAATATAAATGCATGAAATATTCACAATCATACCAAGACTAAAATCACTGATAGAAAATAGTTTGTCAATTTGAAAATTTTCTCATCCTATGAGGTTATGAACGAAGTAGAAAAATTACCAGCACAAATTTACCATTCTGCTTTTTATTTAGAGAATCCATTCTTCTCACTCACTGTAAGAACTGAGAACAACGCAAGTATGCTGCCATATCATAAATTGTTTCCTGTGCAGTATGTACACCACATGGAAAAGTATGTGCAGACCCCTTTGATGGTAAGAATGCAGTACTCCTGCACTGCCTCATTATTTCATGGGTATTTTCTTTACCAGACAGACCTATTCAAAGATGTAGTTCAAAAATGCCTGCTGTACTTGCCTGAAATGCGCAGCTGTTAACTATAGCATAACATTTATTAAATTAAAAAAAAAAAAAAAAAGTATTGAAACAAGCTAAAATGCAATCTGTGAAAGAAGTAGAACCTTCGCAAAGATCAGCAGGCCAGGACAGCTAATAGTTAGAATAAAGCTGAATGTTTCACTCCAAACTGAATAAGGCTTGGCAGCAGGCACCAACACAGGCAGTGCTGAAGAGGCTTCCACATTTTCATCATCTTCTATTGCTTCCTTTTAAGAATGTAAGGATGACTATTTTGGTTCAGATCAAAAATCATTTTGGCTGTTGAATTGTGTCTGGCAGGATCAGAGCTACTGTGCTTTTAAGGAGATTGCACTGCATATGCTCTAGATGATGGTTTCAAATCACACCAAGGCCACAGAGAGTTCTATGTATTTTCTATGATGCCAGCTGAGATCACTATTCTAATACCCAGGAAACCTGGTTTTTTTAGTTATTTTTTCTTAATTGTAAAAAGCCTGCCCAGAGAAATAGGTGTCTTAAAATTTCTCTGCCGATGTAAAGGATGAAAAGGTACATAAGATTTCTCTTACTCAAATAGAGATCTGACACCTAGCACAATGCTTCTCCAGCAGAATACCCTGGGACACACAGAAAAGGCTTTGCTGAAGTCTAGGTAGACTATGTCAACAGCATTTCCCTTATCCTCTAAGCTGATCACCTGATCATAGAAGGAGATAAGGTTGGTCAAACAGAACCTGCCTTTCATGAACCCATGCTGGCAGGGCCTGGCCCCTGGTTGTCTTGCATACGCCAGATGATCTCACTCAAGATGATCTGCTCCATAACCTTCCCGGGCACCAAGGCCAGACTGATAGGCCTGGTTCCCTTGATCATCCTTATGACCTTTCTTGTAGATAGGAGTCACATGGGCAAGCCTCCAAAACTCCGGGACCTCTCTAGTTGGCCAGGGACTTGGAAAGATGGTGGAAAGTGGCTTGGCTATGACCTCTGCCAGCTCCCTCAGCACCTTTGGGTGGATCCCATCTGGATCCTCCCTGAGTTGCTCATCCTTTCTTCCACAGGAGGTAGACTCTCTTTTTCTCCCAGAGTCTCAGTCAGAGTTCCCTGTTCATCCACACTGGTCTCCTTCACCATGGCTCATCTTGTGGCACAGCCTGCACCTGTAAGACTTCCCTCTTGAGAAGCATACAGCCTTCCTGGACCCCTTCAGGACTGAATCCCAAGGGATTTTCCCTACTTGTGACCTGAAGAGTTCAAAGTCAGCCCTCTGGAAATCCAAGGCAGAAGCTTTGCTGATCGCCCTCCTGACTTCAACAAGGATTGAGAACACTGCCATTTTGTGGTCATGCTGTCCAAGATAGCTCCTCACCTCCACACCTCCCACCAGTCCTCAATTTGTGTATAGCAGGTCTAATGAGTCACTTCTCCTAGTAGGCTCACACACCAGCTTTCACAGGCTCCATGAACCTCCCAGGCTCTTTCCTCTGGGCTATTTCTAGCATCTATCAGAGAAGTTGAAGTACCCCATGAGAACCACGGCTGGTGATTGCACAGTTTCTGCCAGCCACTCACAGAACCCTTCATCAATTTCTTCACCCTGATTAGGTTGTCTGTAACAGATCCTCCCCAGGATGTCAGCCCTCTTGGCCTTCCCCCTGATTCCTACCACAGGAA